AAAATCCATTTCCGTGACAGCGCCGCCGTTGACCGCGGGGCCGCCGGTGCAGGCGTTGCCGCCGACGCGCTGATATGAATCGGAGACAGATCCAGCACCGCGGTCGGTCTGGAGGGCCGCGTGAGCTCGTCATGCAAGCGTCGGTCCTCTGTTTGCGTGGCACGCAGCGCACGTGCACTTGCCTTCAACCACCAGTCTGGTAAAACGTCTGGCACATCGACCTTGTCTCCTCTACAGCATGGGAACGCAATCCATTTGTACATTTCATGTTTCACTGTGTAAGTGGCAGCGCCCACATTGTCGAGGTCGAAGCGGGTCGTCGGCCGGGGCGGGTCGGATAGAAGTAGGAGCCACTCACGGGGCACACGCGCGCGATCACGGCGTCGATCGCACGGACCTGCCGCAGGAGACCTGGCACGATCACGAGTGGATGATGGTCGGCTGTTGTGACGGGATGTAGAACGGCCGCCAGTCCGATCGCTTCCGGCATGGGGGGCGCCCACGGTCGCGCCCCCGATTGGAGCGTCGCGAGGACGAACGGGGTCGCGGCGGGGAGCGGGGCGGCCAGCCGCGACCCCCCGGACCGCGCGCGTAGAAGCGCCCCCCGCGCCCTGGAGACGGCGAGCCTCGTCGCGACCAACGTGCACCCCCCGGACTACGGGCGCGGTGCCGGCCCTTGTAGGGCGAAGGCTTCTGCCCCCCCGCATGTCGCGGGGAGGGTGCCCTGTTGCGGCTGTCTCGGCTGGAGGGCCGAAACGGGCTCCGATCGGGGGTCTTAGCGCCAGGGTCAATTCGCGCATTGCGGCAGCTGTTTCTATGCCTGCACGTCAATTTCGGGCCCGCATGGAAAGTGCATGTCGGGATGCGTGGGCGCGCGCGACGATCTTGGAAGGACCGGGCCCGCGCGCGGCGAAAGCAACGCAAAAAGTTCTGCTTGGGCTCATCCTTCGCCGGTGGGCCAGAGAAGCGGCCAGCGGGAGGTCATCTGTCACGGGCGTCTCTGCCACGGGTAAAAGATCGTCGCGGTGGTCGCGGCGCGGGGCGGCTGCTAGACCCAGCGCGTAGTATTTTGCACCGTTCACCATTCTCGCACCGCCCAGACTTGAACGCTGCGCAAATCACAGAGTCGCGTCGGCTCGATTCGTTCTCGAGGCTGCGCTGGTCGCGCACAAGTCGGCGTAGCTCGAGGATTGCGAAGTCGCGTTTTCGAAGCAATGAGGCCCGTCGTGAGCCGTCTTGTTCTAGTCGTGCATGCCATGCTTCGTCAGGTAGGGTCGTCGTATCTGAGTTCGGAATAACGACTCGAGTATACGCGTGTCGGGTGGTTCGCGGCATTCCAACAATAGATTGCCCCCATCCACGATAAACCGTTGGAAGTCGTAATCTCGCACGCGCATCAGTCATAGACGTTCGAAGTCGTTCATTGAGTCGTCGACTGCAGTGACTTTGTAAGATTGCAGCATCGTCCAATAGAATTGTCTGCCCTTCAGCATACGGCCAGCTTTGTGTTCCTGAGCTGTAAGGTTCTTGATGCGGGGGCGCAGCTCCGAGTTGAGGACCGCGGTCAGTCCAGCTGCAAGTTTGCAATCGATACTCTCGAAGTCACCGCTGTCCTGGAGGCCCTCGCAGGTCGTGGCGGGTTGCTCTGCAATGCGCAGGAATGCGCGGGCTTTGGCATGGCGCCCGGAAGCGCTACAAAAATTGTTGAGAACCACGTGCTGCCACTCTTGTAGTTGTGCATGCATGGCAGTTGTGGGATGCGTGCAGAGGTGTCTGATGCCTTGATTGGACTTGCATAGGTAAGCAAGACGCGCGATAATGTTTGCGATGGAACCGGTTGGCTTGGCGAGGGGGGTCGCACAAGGGAAACGCGACGCGCATGCGTCGAAGCCGCTGCGGAAAGCGGCACCTGGCGAGGTACGTCGCGCAGGGTCTGCGCGAACGTCACAATCGGCACGCGTAGAGACTCGGTCTTGTCGGTGCTCAGGAGGCGGGTTTGGATGGTGGATCTGAGCGTTGCTCACGCGGGCGGCCAGCGTAGATTCGTCGGTCGCGACGTCGCGCTGTATCTGGTGAACACTCGGTTGAAGGCCAAGCATCATCATCGTTAGAGTCGCGGGTTCGCTGGGAGTACCTGTCCAGCCGTTGCTCTTAAGTCCTGGGTTCGTCGGTGGTGTGCTTCGCGCTCTCGTTCCAAACGGGTGAGTGCTTCCTCTGCCCGTGCCTGTTCGGCGTCTCTTGCCTGGGAGATCTGGATGAGTCGTAACTGCGCGTTGTCCGCCGCCATCTGTACCTCGACCATTCGGGCATCGAGGGAGGCGATATCGTAAACCGAAGTCGGGGTGCCCAGCTGATCAGTCTGGGCGCAGCCCTTTCTCCAGGCAACTGCTGCTCGACCGCGGAGACTCGGTTCTCAAGCGTTGGCACGCGCCCCTCTGAAGCGTCAAAACGTTGAGCGAAGGCCATCTCGGCACCACGCAGCTCGCCGTCCAACTCATACGCGAGCGCGGCGCGGCGGGAGTGCAGCGTGGCAGCGGTCATCTCGACCTGGGCACGAAGTGCGTTGATGTCCTCACGTGGCCGCGGATCCGCGGGCCCATGCACCTCCACAAATGGGATATGTCGGGCCATCAGGAGCTCATCGTGCACCGCCCTGATGGCGGCAGCCCCGCTGTCTCTGACACTCACAAGTCGGGCCTCCATCCGGAGGAGGTAGTCGTGAAGCGACTGGATCATGTTGGGGTCGGAACCTCGGTGTGCCTCCATCTGGCCAACTTGAAACTGGACCTGAGTGATGATCGATCGATATTCGGCGACCCGGGCGTCAACCAAAGAAAGAGCGCGTTGAAGCTCTTGTCTGAAGGTGGCCGCCTGCGCGGCCAGACCCGACAACTGCTGGGTCGCGTAAGCTTCCTGGTCTCGCAACTCCGCCATGTCACTGGCGGTTGGAGCCGGATGCGACACGATGTCGCGCTGTTGAGAGCCATGCCAGGAGCCGGCTGGCGTCCGAGTAGGGGAGCGAATGTGATACCGTTTTGGAACCTTGCGCTGAAATGCCCGCCCAGTACGGTTCTCTATGACACACACACACATGTTCAGAGACAGACACGTTAGTGGGTGACGTGACCTTAGCCCAGCGGCGGCTGCGCGCGGAAGCGATGTCTGGAGACACGCTTCGCAGCGCCACCGCTGCGGGCGTTGCCACCGACGCCACTCGTATCAACGGAGGTAGGAGGAGAGAAGAAAGGTGCAGCGAATCCAGCTGCGGCACCGAAGACTGATTGGACAACTGCAAGTGCTCCCACCGGCGCACATGACACGAGAGTAGCAGGCGCCGCGGGAGGCGAACCCAGCCGCGGTCGCGAGGTCCTCGGCGTGCGAGCGCGCGCGGGCGGCGGCGGTAGCGGGGAATCTGGTAGTAGTTCTCCCAGCGCAGCCGCTAGTGAAGCGGTACTGCCTTCTCCTGAAAGGGGGGAAGCGGGTATCACAAATTCTCTTGCCCTCTCCACAGAGCCGTCGCGACCGCGCGCCGTCGAGGACGCCGCACGCATACAGGCACTGCGCCCCGAGGTGCCCGAGGGGCAGCGCCAAGCGGCGGAGTTTACGATGACGCGAATCGCAACAGCGAAGAGCGTGAAAGAAAAAGCTGGTAACCTGTGTGTGTATATAGGGAGACGACCGAGGGGTCGATCCTACACAGAGGTCCGTAGGTAGAGGCAAGGAGGAAGAGGTTAGCTTCTCCTTTTCTTTGGCGTTGCGCGGAGGGCAGCGCACTGTCTGTGTTGATGCCAATGCCTGAGCCGATACAGTCACGGTATGCACTGATAGAATGGGGATATGAGCGGACTTCACACACAGTGGTGGCGGTGGTGATGGTGGTGGTGGTGGTGGCGGTGGTGGTAGTGGTGGCGGTGGAGGTGGCGGTGGAGGTGGCGGTGGTGGTGGTGGTGGTGATGGTGGTGGTGGTGGAGGTGGTGGCGGTTGTGGTGGTGGAGGTGGTGGTGGTGAAGGTTTGCTGGCCCCGTATGTTCTTCGGTTCTCGGCGGCTTTCCAGCCTCGGGGTGCTCTCCGGCAGCTGCCCCTCGCCTAGGGCCGCCTGGACTGCCCGCATCGCCTCGAACAGCTGCCGCAGACCCAATTCGCGACTCAAAAACCAGACGACGAGGATTGCTTGGGGGGACCGTCCCAGGGGGGAAACATCGAGCCTGAATCGGCGATACATCGCCGACAGATCGGCGAGAGGCCCCCGATCGCAAATCCACGCGTTCCTGGAGGGGGTGAGCTATCGGGACCCCACCGGCGATCAGTGGGCGTTCAGGGGACGAGGCATCCCCCCCTAAACCGATCCCCCCTAACTACGCCACGAAAATATGTACACGGACACCCGCCGACGAGTTATCCCTGTGTCGTCAGGAGGAAGTGCGACGCTGCACAAAATCGCCCAACCCTCCCTGCGGCCCAGGAATGATTTACTGGGGGTCTGTGTAAACATGTTTGCGGCGGTGATGATGATAATGACGACGACGATGATGATCATGATGATGAAGACGATGATGCTGACGATGATGCTGCTGATGATGATGATGATTATGGTGGTGGCGGTGGTGTTGATGGATGCTGATGACGTTGATGATGATGATAATGATTGTGAAGATGATAATAATTATGATGATGATGGTGATGATGATGATGATGATAATGATGATGGTGATGATGATGATGGTGATGATGATGGTGATGATGATGATGATCATGATGATGATCATGATGCTGATCATGATGATGATCATGATGATGATCATGATGATCATGATGATCACGATGATCATGATGACGATGTTGATGGTGATGATGACGACGACGGTGCTGATGATGATGGTGTTGATAATGACATTTAGAACGATAATGATACTGATAATGAGAATGAGCATGAGAAGGAGAGATTCAATGGGGGTGTCTATGTGTACATTTTCTGCGACGGACGAACGCTGCCCCTGAGCCTGCGTCAGGAGCTGCAGGCCGTCCGGGAACAGCTCGGGCAGCTCGGCGACCAGGCCGGCCGCGAGCCCGAGGACCCTCGCCGGAGGCGCGGGCAATCTTACCATGCGCTGGAAGTGTGAACTTACAGATGTCTGCTGATTTGGGGGAAGTTCCTTGGAAATCCGGCCACCGAGCGGGTCCGATCGTGGACCCGTTCGGCAGCCGAAGGGGCTCGGGGCGGCCCCCTGAGAAGGTCGGGAGGAGGGGGCATCGGGCTTTGTCTTGTCATTCGCGATAAGGGCCGTGATCGACCCCGTCCCGCGCCCCCTCCCCATCCCCCCCTGGTCACGCCACGATTCGCGCCCGCGCCGTCTCGGAGTCAGCCATTCCTGGGCATTCCCTGACGGCGCCGGCGCGAATCGTGACGTGACCAGCCCCCCCTCCCACCACCCAGTCACCTCCACTGTCGCTGGGGGGCAATCATCGGTCTCATCTTGGAAGAGGAGGGCGGGGGTGCACGGTTTCTCCCGGGGCCGGAGGCGACCCGAGGAGGAGGAGGAGGAGGAGGAGGAGGAGGAGGAGGAGAGAGGAGGAGGAGGAGGAGGATAGGAGGAGGAGGAGGGAAGGGGGAGGAGGAGGAGGAGGAGGAGGAGGAGGAGGATGGGAGGAGGAGGGAGGAGGAGAAGGAGGAGGAGGAGGAGGAGGAGGACGGGTCGCCTAAGCTCCTCGGAGAAACCCTCCAGGGCGGGGGGGGGCCCTCTGAGAGGGCCTCCCCCCGCCCGGTCGGGAAGCAGCGCGCCCAGAGCTCCGACGAATCCATGCTCTCGAGCCTCGGGGCCCCAGACCCCAAAGAGAGTGGGCAGCTCCCGCGGTCGCGACGATTACGCACGCGTGAAAGATGGTCCCCCTTGTCAGAGAAAGCTGGGCTTGGCGACCGAAAACGGGTCTCGCGCGAGACGGCACAGCGACCTCGCGCGGCGGCTTCCGCGGGGGCGCGGCACGCCCCACTGGAGGCGAGGGGCGCTCACGCGCGACCTTACGCGGGCAGCTTACGCGCCGATGTCGGCGCAGCGGACCCCGCTCTCTTCCGTCGCTCGGATGGGGTCGCAGGCTCGCGCCGCATCGCCGGTGCATCGCCGCCGCATCGGCGGCGCATCGGCGGCGCATCGGCGACGAGGGCGATGCATCGGCGACGTCGGCGTGGAGAAAATCTGGCTCCGCATCGAGCCGCATCGCCGACGCGTCGGCGGCGCCGTTCTCTTCCGTCGCTCGCCTGGACTCGGCTCTCCGCTCGATCTCTCGGCCATCTCCCCGAGGCCCACCTTCCGTCCCGAGCTGTCGGGTTTTGACGGCTTCCGGAGGCCGCATGCCGAGGAGCCTCAGGCTCTCGGCACTCTCGAGCGAGGGGCAACGGTAGAGGGGAGACTCTGGACCTGGAGTCCTCAATATTTCACCGATAGATCGGCAATCGGCCCCCGATAGCAGATCCGAACGTTCCTGGGCGGGGTGGGGCTATCAGACCCCTATCGGCGATCAATGTGCGATTGGGGGTCGATGCGTCCCCCTCTCTGCCAATCCCCCCGATCGTTGCCCCTGATCGAGGCATCCTGAAGGAATGGCTTTCGGGGCACAAATCGGGCTTCGGGCGGCCGTTCAGGACGATTCGGGCACCTCCAGGATTGCTCTCGTCGAGGCGCCGCTGCTGAAAAGCATCCCGAGGCGAGGAGGTCTCCAAGAACCAACGAAAAAACCTACCCCAAACCGAGACCCCCGACGCCATGATTTTTTCGTGACGTGACCCCCACAGGTCTCAACCTGCTCCCCGGGACCAGCTTTAAACCCGAGTCGCTGGTTGACGGTCCCCGGGCGAGGGCCCCAAAGCCGAGAATAGCAAACAGCCCTCCGTCATGATGTTGTTCATGACGCGAGGGGGTCTGGGAACAGAGCGCCCCCCGCCACTGTGACCCCGCCCCCTGCGCCACCAGAATATGTCCATACATCCGCTGCAGCGGTGCCGTATCCCAGGGGTTCGAGGAGCGGTGGATAGGGTTATCTGCCCGCCCATGCAGGCGGGCAGAGATTGGGCGACGAGATCTATACATGTCCACCGCCGCCGGCCAAGTCCATCCTGGGCTCAGGAGCGGTTTACATGCTTACATGCTGCCTGGCGTGGCAAAGGGAGCGCATACACCGCTCCTGGGCCCAGATGGGCCTGGCCCGCGGCGGTGGATATGTATGGATATCGTCGCCCGAAGATATCCGTGCCCCGGGGAAAAAACGATACCGCTATTCCAAAGACCTCCCCCAGGGTGCTTGTTGACCAAGATGTCGAGGCGAATCCAGCCGTGGTGACCAGGCCCTCCCGGGGCGCCCGAAAAGGCGAAAACGAGGGGAGGACAGCGGTATTGGTACCTACGCTCCTCCTCTGAGATCCACCTCTCCTCGAGATCTGGGACACAACTCCAGAGCAATGTATATACACGCATCCTGCCGGCAGACCCCTGCCGCGCCGCCGGGCCTCGGCAGCAGCTCTCCGGGGGCAGGCAGCCCCGCGGCCTCGCACCGCCCCGCGGCGAGGCGCAGCGCTCCGAGAGCACCCTGGCAGAGGCCTCCCAGCTGGCGTCCGAGCAACGGAGCGACGGACCGAAACGGGTCTCGCGCGAGACGGCACAGCGACCTCGCGCGGCGGCTTACGCGGGGGCGCGGCACGCCCCACTGGAGGCGGGGGGCGCTCACGCGCGACCTTACGCGGGCAGCTTACGCGCCGATGTCGGCGCAGACGACCCCGCTCTCTTCCGTCGCTCGGATGGGGTCGCAGGCTCGCGCCGCATCGCCGGTGCATCGCCGCCGCATCGGCGGCGCATCGGCGGCGCATCGGCGACGAGGGCGATGCATCGGCGACGTCGGCGTGGAGAAAATCTGGCTCCGCATCGAGCCGCATCGCCGACGCGTCGGCGATGCATCGTCGACGCAACGGCGACGCAACGGCGACGCATCGGCAACGCGTCGGCGACGCCGGCGTGGAGAAAATCGGGCAGCACATGGCGTATCCAAAAAATCCTGAGCCAAAAAACCTTGCCATCTTTTGGGAGGCTAATTCATACTTCCTCAAACTTCCGCCAGTCTTCCGCCAGCTTCCGCTGGTGGAGGCGACCTTGCTTTGCTTCCGCCGCCTTCCGCCGCCCTTTGCCGATGAAGAAGTGACAACTCCTTCGATCCTCGAAGACCAGGTCATCTCGAATGCCTCACGTCGAGCCGCATCGCCGATGCATCGGCGGTGCATCGGCGAAGCATCGGCGACGTGGGCGACGCATCGGCGACGCCGGCGTGGAGAAAATCTGGCTCCACATCGAGCCACATCGCCAATGCATCGGCGATACATCGGCGACGCATCGGCGATACATCGGCGACGCATCGGCGACGCCGGCTTGGAAAAAATAGAGCTGCACATGCTGGGTTCAACAAAACTCTGAGCCAATCAAATCTTGCCACCCTTTGGGAGGTCGATTCTTACTTCTGCTGGCTTCCGACGGCGGAGGCGGCCTCGCTTTGCTTCCGCCACCTTCCACAACCCTTCCGCCACCTTCTGCCGAGGACGAGGTGAGAACTCCTTCTATCCTCGAAGACCAAATCCTTTCTCGAATGCCTCACATCGAGGCGCATCGCCGATGCATCGGCGATGCAGCGCGATCCTCCGACAACAGCTGCTCGGGCCCTAGCTCGGAGGCTAGAATACCTATCGTTCGGAACAAGTGGGTAGAAACATCAAGTATGAAGCAGGAAGGCGTTGAAAGTAGATTGAAGATTGGGCGTCCGCCCGATGCTCTCCACGCCGGCGACGGTGATGCAGCGCCCACGTGGTCACTGCTTCGGCGATGCATCGGCGGTGCGGCGCGAGCCTCCCACCCCAGCCACTCGGGACCCCAGCTGGGAGACCTGGAAACCTGGGCCTCGGCGGCCCCAGCCGCGCGGACCTCGCTCAGCGCCTCAAGCACCGCCTCCACAGCCTTCTGGGACTGGCCATCACCGAATCGATACATCGGGACGAACCGAAGTGGATCGATCGGCCAATATCCAAAGGTGAGACCTACAAGCCTCGTCAAAAATAGGTTGGCACGCCTTTCACAATCGTGGCGCTCGATGGTTCGGACACTTGCCACTTCTCCAGCGCTGTGAAGATGTTGCCGGACTTCCGACAACCTTGCGTCCGGGCCAAATATCTCATGCCAGCGCCGAAGTAGACTGACACCAAAGACAATAAGCGCCAGCGTATGTTGGACGAGGCTTGCAGCGAAAGCGACATGGAAGGGGCACGGTGCCCAGAAAGGGCTGCGAGCGACCGCCCCCTCGAGCATCAGCGCACGGGACTACGGTCACCGCGCTTCCCAACCACGGCGGCGAGCCGCGCCCACGAGCAGGCTCCACGACCCTACGTCTAAGGAGCGGCCCGAAGTACGGAGCCCCTCCGGAGCCCAACGTGGTCTGTATTTCAGCGTTTTCACTGTAGCCATCTGGGAGGAGGCCCTCGGACCCGCGGCGAGCCCGCTCCATGGGGCCCGATATCCAACAACCCAGACACCCAGCGCGCAACCGCCCGGGCACCAGGGGATCGATCGGATCGCCCGGAAGAGTCGAAGTCGAATCGGATCCCTCTCCACCTCCTCCCCCTCCCCGTCCCCCTCCCCCTCCTCCTCCTCGTCCTCCTCCTCCTCCCTCCTCCCCATCCTTCCCCCCCTCGGGAAAAATACTTTTCCTGGGAAGAGCTCTTTCCTGGCGCCCACAAGCAGAGATCGAATCGGATCGGGCAAGGTGAGATCGACATCGAGCTGGTTCGATTGAATCGGCCGTCGTTGAATCGAGAAGGAGCGGACGAAAAACGCTGCAAGATAATTTGCTCCGCCGGCGGGGACGCCTGTTCCAGGGCAGGCGTCCCCGACGGCGGGAAAAAAACACGTTGCACAGCTCGTCGTCCGCTGAGAAAAATCGGGTCGAAGCGAAGCGCGCATCGGATCGGGCCGCATCGGATCGCCCAAAGAAACCGAGATCGGATCGGATCGGGCTGGGTCAGCTCGACATCGAACTGGATCGCTCGGATCCCAGTTCGAATGTCCGAACTGGCGGCTGGGGGGGGGCTGAACCAGTGTGCAAAAGAAGTGCGAGTAATCAAAACATGATAAACCAAAATCCCTCACCACTCTTTCGTAATCCCAAAAGTCGGCGGTGGACAAACCTCCCTTGAGTGAACCTCCCCTTAGTGGAAACGGCCTGGGACAGAAACTGACGGACATGGACCCGCAAAAATGACGGCCGCGACGCCCTCTCGCGAACCGAAAACGGCCAATTCGCTAATCGACGTGTCAGGGTAGGAGGTCTGTCCACCCCCGAATATGGTGGTTAGCGGGACGGGGGTCCTGCGTGGGCCGACTGCCTGACCGGCCAACCAAACCATGCAGGTTGCGAAGTGCTGGTTGGCCCTGTCTGGGTGGCTTCTGGGAGTGGAGATAGACTATCGGAGGTCCGCGCGGATTTCGTGGATCGGCGCCTGAAGCGCCGCCAAGGGGGCCCAGCGCCGATCCGAAAAATCCGCGCAAAGCTCCGAAAGCCATGCTTATGCCAGCGCTTACCTTTCGATTCCCACTGCGAAAGCAAGCAGCAAGGAACCACCATCGCACTGACCACCAAATGACCGTTTGTTTTCTTTCCCGGGTAGCGGTCGGTACCCGGGATTGGGGGGATTATTATTTTCTTCGCCGCGGGGCTTCGCGCGTGCGCACTCCTTGACACCCTGCCTGGCAGCAGCAGCAGCTCACGAGACCGAAAGGGATCAATAGCTACGCCACTGCAGCGAAAGGACGGAGCCTAAAAAGGCAGATCAGCATCCCATCCAAGGACTGCAGGAAGATGGGAGGCGGAGGCGGAAGAGAAAAGCCCGCCTCGAAGCACTCCTCCGGGTGCTGCCCAGATTGGGGGAGGATTCACGTGGGAGGGTAGTGGTAATGGCGGCCGTGGCGTTCAGCCGCCAGGGTGCGTCCGCGCCACCGGCGCATCAGCCGCCTGTGCGAACCACAGACATGTAGGGAAGGGCCCAGGCCACACACCCCAGTACGATCGTTGGCGTTACCCCGGGGGGGGGGGCGTCTAGCCTTTGCGCGAGCGCGCGGGCACGCCGTCGTTGTCGCCGACGCCGCCGCCGTCGTCGTCGTCATCGCCGTCGTCGCCGCCTCCGCCGTCGTCGTCGTCGTCGTCATCAACCGTGTTCATCACCCCCTAGAAAAAAACAACAAAAAACAAAAAAAAATCCAAGCGAAAGACCCATCCATATGCAGTTGTGGGTACCGCAATTGTGAATATAGTTTTCGGTGAAGCTCCCTATGGGGCCACGAAGCGCTGCACTGGATGGGGGGACGCATGCGGGCGGTAGCACTGGGGTCGTCGGCGTAGATCCCTATGGGGCCACGCAACGCTGTACTACCCATGTGGCCACGAAATGCTATACTGGGTTGGTGGAAATGCCAAATTTGGTTTTCGGGACGCATGCGTACGGTCCCACTGGGGGCTTCGGTGGAGCTCTCTATGGGACCACGAAGCGCTGCAGGGCAAGTGAAAATGCCAACTTGGGTGTGCGGGACGCATGCGGGCGGTCCACTGGGGGCTTCGGTGGAAATCCTTATGGGGCCACGAAACGCTGTACTAGGTGGGTGAAAATGCAAAATTGGGTGTGCGGGAGGCATGCGGGCGGTCCCACTGGGGGCTTCAGTGGGGCCCCCATATGGGGCCACGAAACGCTGTACTGGGTGGGTGAAAATGCCAGAATGGGTTTTCAGGACGCATGCGGACGGTGGCACTGGGGCTTTCGGTGGAGCTCCCTATGGGGCCACGAAACGCTGTACTGTGTGGGTGAAACGCAGGGAAGAGGGAGGAGGGGGCCACGAAACGCTGTATTGGGTATGCGGGACGCATGCGGGCGGTCCCACTGGGACCTTCGGTGGGGCTCCCTATGGGGCCACGAAGCGCTGTACTGGGTAGGTGAAACACAGGGAGGAGGGAGGAGGGGGAGGAGGGGGAGGAGGAGGGAGGAGGGAGAGGGGAGGAGGAGAGGGGAGGGGGTGGGGAGGGGGAGGGAGGGGAGGGGAGGGAGGAGGAGAGGGAGAGGAGAGGAGAGGAGAGGAGAGGAGAGGAGAGGAGAGGAGAGGAGAAGAGAGGAGAGAGGAACGCGGGGACCGTCTCTTCAAAACGAGGACCCAACACCACAGGATGGTTGAGAAAAAACGCTCACCAAGCCGCTCTTTCCAGGAAGCTGGCCCTGCCTTCTGCGGCGCGGCCGCGGCCCCCCCTGCGCCACTCGGCTCCGCGGCCCCGGCGGCCTCCCGGCTCCGCGCGGACAGCCGCTCCAGGGCGCGCCTGATGTTTCTCCACCGCGCTGGGTCCTCGCCGTGGAAGAAGCGCACCATGGGCGGAGGAGAGGAGGAAAACGGCACGAGCATGAAGCCTCCAGAGGTCCGCGCGGACCCCGGGGCCATCACGGATCGAGCCAGCTCGAAAAATGCAGCGGAGAGGTAAGGTCTGAGGCTGCAGTCGCGATGTTCCGCCGTGTGACAACTTATTCACAACGTCGGGTCTCAGGGAATCCCTTGCATCCGCGCAGGGCCCCCCCCCCTCCTCGCTTGCGCACAGGGCGCGCCAGGGGCGGCGCTTGAGGCGCCAGCAGGGCGCTCGGCGCAGATCCAAAAAGAAACCTTCGCGGGCCCTCGAGAGCTCATGCTCGTGCCGTTTTTGCTCTCCTTCGGATGGTGGCGTCCATGGCCCCTCGGCGGGCCCAAATTGCAGGAAACTACCCCCGCTGCGCCTTGAGGGGCAAACGCCGGGGGGGACTGGCCCATCGGGTAAACATCGCCTGAAATCGGCGATACACTGACATCGGCGATAGGATCCCGATAGCGAATCCGCACGTGCCTGGATCGGGCCCGTACCGGCGATGAGTGGGCGATTGGAGTCGATGCATTCCCCCTGAGCCTATCCCCCCCCAAGGTGCCCCTGACCAGGGGCCGCCACGGGAGGAGCGCGCGGCAGCGGCCTTGCGAGGAGCGCTGGCGCTCTTGGGCCACCGCGTTGCGACGACCTTCTCCTCCACACTGCCACAAGACCTTCGGATCGCGGGCGCCCCACAAAGGTCGGCCATGTCCTGCGTGCACGGCAGAGATCGACCGTGCCTGGCGTACACGACCCTGCGATCCGTGTTGTTCCCCACATGCTTCGTGGGGTTTGGGTTTTCTTCCCTGCCGCGCCGCACCCGCGTCTCCTCACACCTCCCCTCCTCATTCTTTTTTCCTTCCCTCACTCACACACACACACACTTCACTCTTCCCCCCCTCGTCACAACACTGCTCAGCTCAGCTCAACTCAGCTCAGCACAGCACAGCACAGCTCAGCTCAGCTCAGCATAGCACAGCTCGGCTCAGCTCAGCACAGCTCAGCACAGCCCAGCACGGCTCAGCTCAGCACAGCACAGCACAGCTCGTGGCACTTTCTCGACACCACAGGGGGGGCGCACGGGTTGGTCTCTCAACTCGGTCGCTATCCACGACACTGGCGCAAAGCCTAGCAGGCATGGCACTCTCTCGACACAAAAGGGGGTGGGCAGGGGGTGGTCTCTCAGCTCGGCCGCTATCCACGACACTGGCGCAAAGCCTAGCAGGCGTGGCACTTTCTCGACACCATAGGGGGTGCGCAGGCGGTGGTCTCTCAGCTCGGCCGCTATCCACGACACTGGCGCAAAGCCTAGCAGGCGTGGCACTTTCTCGACACCACAGGGGGTGCGCAGGGGTGGTGGTCTCTCCAGCTCGGCCGCTACCACGACACGGCGCAAGCCTAGCAGGAGTGGGCACTTCTCGACACCACAGGGGGTGCGCAGGGGGTGGTCCAGTTCGGCCGCTATCACGACATGGCGCCGGCAAGCCTAGCAGGCGTTGTGGCACTTTCTCGCACCATAGGGGTTTTACCAGACATCCTAGTCTCTCAGCCCGGCCGCTATCCACGACAATGGCGCAAGGCCTAGCAGGCGTGGCACTTCTGACCACCCATAAGGGGGGGCTCTAGGGGGGGGGGTCTCTCAGAGTTCGGCGTTATCCACGGACAAGTGCGCAATAGCCTAGCAGGCGTGGCACTCCTTCTAGACACCATTAGGGGTGCGCAGGGGCAGGTGGCTCTCAGCTCGGCCGCTTATCCACGGAACACTGTCGCAAAGACCCTAGCGGGACGTGGCACTTTCTCGACCCCACCATAAGGGGGTGCGCAGGGGGTGGTCTCTCAGCTCGGCCGCCATCCACGACACTGGCGCAAAGCCTAGCAGGCGTGGCACGTTCTCGACACCATATGGGGTGCGCAGGGGGTGGTCTCTCAGATCGGCCACTATCCACGACAGGGTCGCAAAGCCTAGCAGGCGTGACATTTTCTTGACACCATAGGGGGAGCGCAAGGGGTGGTCTCTCAGCTCGGCCGCTATCCACGACACTGGCGCAAAGCCTAGCAGGCGTGGCACTTTCTCGACACCACAGGGGGTGCGCAGTGGGTGGTCTCTCAGCTCGGCCGCTATCCACGACACTGTCGCAAAGCTTGGCAGGCGTGGCACTTTCTCGACACCATAGGGGGTGCGCAGGGAGTGGCCTCTCAGCTCGGCCGCTATCCACGACACTGTCGCGAAGCCTAGCAGGCGTCGCAGTTTCTCGACACCATAAGGGGTGCGCAGGGGGTGTTCTCTCAGTTCGGCCGCTATCTACGACACTGTCGCGAATCCGAGCAGGCGTGGCACTCTCTCCACACCATAAGGGGTGCGCAGGGGGTGGTCTCTCAGCTCGGCCGCTAATCACCGGACACTGTATGCAAAGGCTAGACGGAGTGGCACTTTCTCCGACCCCATAGGGGGTGCGACAGGGGGTGGGCTCTCAGCTCGCGGCCGCTATTAACGACACTGTCGCAAAGCCTAGCAGGCGTGGCATGTCGACACCATTAAGGGGTGCGCAGGGGGTGGTCTCGCCAGCTTCGGCCGCTATTACGACACTGTTCGCAAAGCCTAGCAGGCGTGGCATTTTCTCGACACCATAAGGGGTGCGCAGGGGGTGGTCTCGCAGCTCGGCCGCTATCCACGGTATTGTCGCAAAGCCTAGCACGCGTGGCACTTTCTCGACACCATAGGGGGTGCGCAAAGGGGGGTCTCTCAGCTCGGCCGCTATCCACGACACTGTCGCAAAGCCTAGCAGGCCTGGCACTTTCTCGACCCCCTAAAGGGTGCACAGGGGGTGGTCCCTGAGCGCGGTCGCTATCCGAGCCGGTCGTCCAGGGCATAACAGGAGTGACACTTTTTTCCTGACACCATAGGGGGTGCGCAGGAAGTGGTCCCTCAGCGCGGTCGCTATCCGAGCCGGTCGTCCAATGCAAAGCAGGAGTGGTACTCCCTCGACACCATAGGGGGTGCGCAGGGGGTGGTCCGTGAACGCGGCCGCTATCCGAGCCAGTCGTGGCCGCCATCCGAGCCGGTCGTCCAGGGCATAGCAGGAGTGGCACTTCCTCGACACCATAGGATGTGCGCAGGAGGCGGTCCGTGAGCGCGGCCGTTACCCGAGCCTGTCGTCCAGGAATTGCGCAGAGGGCAGTTTTGGCTCAAGCAAGAGTCCCTTCCTCTGGTGGTCAAAGGTGATTATAGACACGGTGACTGCCTTCCATGGCGCCCAAATGTGCCATGTCCGCGCTGCCGCCTCCGCGCGAGCAGCTCAGGAACTCAATGCTAGAGATGGGTGCCGAGGTGAGTTTAGATGGTTTGCGTAAGTATGTTGAACAGCATAGGAACGACTGGGTGTAGAACGCAGGATTACGCATGGATGGTAATGAAAAGCCAACACAGAAGCTTTAAATTAAGTATGTGGGGCTCCTCGGTAGCGTAATTTGTTGTTTTCACTGCGGGCTTTCGCCCAATTTCGGACCCTCGGACCCTCTCGGATCGATCAGGCTCGAAAAATGCGGCAGAAAGACGGGGTCTGGGGCTCTGGTCGTAACTTGTTCGTGATGTCACAATTTTGCTCGTAGTGTCGAATCTCAGGGGACGACAGGCTATCTCGATCTCGTGTGACTGACTGAAGAGCTCTGGGCTGGGGACCGTCTGTAAGGGCCGTGGGGCCACCCTGAAAGTATAAGGTGTATACCAAAGGCCAGAAGATGTGTACGATGTCCCCCTCTCGGAGGCCCTGCGGGCCGTCTTCGGGGCATGTTGGGGGTGTGCATATGTGTGAGAGAGCGTGATCCCCCGCCGCTTTACTGTGGAAAATTGCCAACCTTTTCCTCCGGAACCCGGGGGTCGCCTCCCACCCCCCCTCCGAAAATCCCCCCCCACCCCAACCCCCCCCCCCATGCTGGAAACCCCTCCCCCCCCCCCCCCACCCCCCCCCCCACACCCCCCCCCCCCCTCTCCCCCGGGCAAACCCCCCCCCCCCTCCCCAACCCTCCCCCCCCCCCCCCCCCCCCCATCCCCTCGAAAACCGGGGGGGGGCACTACCGGTTCGAACCCCTCCCCCCCCCACACCTCCGGATCCGGAAAAACCGGGGGGGGGGTCAACTAACGGTTGAGATCCCGAGCGATTCCCTCGCGGAAAACCGAAGGATCCCGCGCGACCGCCGGTTCGAACCCCTCCCCACCCCCCCCACTCACCGCCAGCAAACGACTCCCGGTCCCTACCACCGTCAGCGTCACATCCTCCACTGTTGTTCCCAGCACCACTGTCCTCACCACCACTGTCCCCACTGTGTCCCCACCAGTGCCCCCACCACTGTCGCACTGTCCCCACTGTCCCCACACCTGTTCCCACCACGGTTCCACTCTCCCCACTGTCTCCACGGCCCCAACCACTGCCCGACTATCCCCACTGTCCCCACTGTCCCACTGACTCCGCCGCTGTCCCACTGAGCTGTCCCACTGTTCCCACCACTGTCCCCACTGTCCCCACCACTGTCCCCACTGTACCTCTGTCCCATTGTCCCACCGCCGTCCTCGCCACCGCCTTTACCACTGTCCCCACCACCGGCCACCACCATTGTACCCTCCAATGTCCCACTGTTTCCACCTCATTCCCACTGTCCCCACACCACTGTCCCCACCACCACCGTCCCCACCACTGTCCACTGTCCCCCCTGTTCCCACCATTGTCCCCACCACTGTCCCCACCACTACCGGCCCTCTACTGCCCCACTGTCCCACTGTCCCCACCACTGTCCCGCTGTCCCCTCACCACTGTCCCACCAACACCGTCCCCACCTCTGTCCGCACCCCCACTCGGTTTTCGAGGGGGGGGGGGGTCGAACCGGTAGTGACCCTCCCCCTTTTCATGATGAGCTGGGGGGGGGGGGGAGGGGTTCGAACCGGTAGTGACCCCCCCGGTTTTCCGG